CCGCTTATGTACGTTTACAAGTTGCCGAATCTCCGCGTTGAGATCCCTGATACGGGGATCTCCGGGATCGGCCTGACGAAGGCTATCACGCTCATCGGCTAGAACAGCCGCTTCGGCAGGGAAGTTTGGACGTGGGTCCGTTATACATCCTGCCGGTATGAAGCGAGCTGCAGCAGCAGTGATGGCCCTGCGGAACTTACGTTCACCGAGATGGACGTCGGTTCGTGTGGGGGGGCGCTGCGAAGGTGTTTTCGGTAAACTCCGCGTAACCTTTCCAATCAGCTTTAGAAAAGTTGATATAGGTCCGGTGTTTGGCGGAGGAAAAGTCGGTTGGTTTATCAATCGAGATGACTATGGGTAGATGGTCTGATGCTAGAGTCAGCATAGGTCGCCACGTTATGCTGTTTATCAGACCAGCGCTGACTATTGTGATGTCTGGCGAGCTACTGCAGTTACCCATAATCCTGGTGGGGTGCGTCGTCGTTCATTGTGCAGAATGTCGAATCGTCTATCTGCTCAGCCAAGTCTGTTCCCTTACGATCGTTTGACAGGATTGAGTGCCAAGGATCGTGGTGCGCATTAAAGTCACCTACTACCATACGGTTTTCACCTCTGAAGAGCGCACCTATATCAGGGTGATATCCTGCCGGATAGCAGGTGACAGGGGGTATGTATATGTTAAATATTTCGAGCTCGACATCGCCTGACCGGATAGCGATGCCCGGACATTCTAGGGTGGTATCCCTGCGGCCGATGTATGCTTCGATAAGACGATACTGCACGGTGTGGTGCGTGATGAACGCTAAGCCACCACCATTATCTCGCTCGCGATCTCGACGGTGCACGTTGTACCCAGCGCAATTCAACAAAGTTGAATTGCTGTGCAACTTCGTCTCTTGGACCGCAGCTATTAATACAGCATGCCGACACATGAAGACGATTATCTCCTCAGTCTTGCTCTGTAGCCCGTTACAGTTAAATTGAAGGAGCTTCATGTGGTTCGGGAGACGTGTCGTGATGTGGGTTGTAAGTGAAGTGTATGTTCTTGCCGCCGTTGGCTGTGTGTGCTGCTGAGGTGATTGCCGCCCTGTGGTGGTGGTGGGGGGTGTCGCAATTGAAGTCTGCGGCCGAGCAGCGCAACACGGGCCCTCGAAGTTCCCCGTCCAATCTCGCGTGGTACGCAGACCTGAGCATGCCCTAAAGTGGCACCAGCCAAGGCAGGTGTTGCACTTGACTGATGTCACATTACGGAATATCCTGGTCTGACATACCGTGCAGATTGTAGGGGGAACCAGGAGTTGTTGGCGGCGGCGTGTGGGTGGTGGTGCGGTTGTGTGTGTTATGTGGTCTGTAGTGGCTATGGTACGGTCTGTGGTGTTATTATGTTGTTGTGTTGTGGTGACTGTGTGTGGCTGCTGTGTGAGTGTGTGGGGCTGCTCGGGTGGACTATGGTTAGCCGTGGAGGCTGCTCTGTTTGAGCAACAGGGGGCCACGTACGACGTGGTCCACTGTCTGTGTGTCCGTAGTCCCGAGCAGACCCTGAGGTGACTCCACCCCTCGCAGGCATTACACTTGACTGAGGTGGAGTTGTGGTGTAATCGTCTTCGGCATACACAGCAGGTGTAAGTTTCTGGTCCAGGGTTTGACTCGATGCCAGCCCTGAGTAGGAGAATGCGTAGTGAATGTAGCCCTATGGACGGACAACTTCTAAGATACTTCGCCGACCTAAACGGGGTTAGATCGCCGAAACAACAGCCCTTGGTCAGGTGAAACCCTAGTCATTCCGGTACGTAGAACCGGCTGTCGTGGGAATGCTCGGAGTATAGCGTTGGCTTCAGCAGTGTATACTGAGCAGAAGGATAGTAAATGACCAGCCGTGTTTGTCTCGTGATTTGCGTTTACAACAGCGAAAGCTGTGGTGGAGTGGACCTTTGTTCCATCGGTAAAGATGAATTTCCATCCCTGCTCTTCGAAACTTGTTGCGAGCTGTTTGAATATTTGTCTGTAGACTGACGGTGGTGTACTGCTCTTGTTCTTTTGCTGATCTCGAGAATAATAGACGACTCTAAGTTCATCCAGGGCGGAGGATAGTTGATATTAATCTTGACCGGTTTAGTAGGCATTTCTAAATTCTTCGCTGCATCTATGCACCTTGTTATGGTTGATGTGCGACACAATACCTTTTTGCTTCTAACCACTGAGCTGACTGCATCGAATACAACTGCGTTCTTGCATTGAAAAAGTTTATGGATTAGCTTTAAAGTGTTTTGTTTGGTTCTCTCTTCCACAGTGGGGAGCCATGCTTCTGTGAGAGTGCATCGTACTGGAGACGTCGGGAAAGCGCGTATACATCTTCGGGCTGCGGTATGATATGGTGCAAGTAAGCGTTTCATATTGCTGCGCGCACCGTGCCCGTAGATAGTTAAGCCATAGTCGAGTTTTGATATGATCAGAGCTTTCGTTATATTTACTAGTGTTGTGGGGTGCAGTAGACAGTGTTTTGACGATAAAAACTTTATAATATTCAATCTTTTATCTAAATTAGTTCTTAAGTATTCT